TCAGAATTTTCCAGCTTCATTACAGCACAAATGACAGTTAAAAGAATTTGGTGCGCGGTTTTTTGGAATTATACTGTTTACCTGACAAGAGCGAGTGCTGTTTCCCTTTTTTCTGTTTTTTTCAGCCACAGATCACTTAATCCCTCCTCCTTTTCATTCTGTTCTTCGATGCTTTACTTTTTCTTGATCGGTTACTTTTAACAGCCGAAACAGTTTAAACCTCAGTTTTTTCAAACTCGGGACACGCTCGACCAGAACGCACCTTTCCCTCCTTCTCTCTCTCCACCGCGTCGTGTATCCCCTCATCAATAACCTGACGTGTCCCGCTGAATTTTCACCAGCCTTAAATAGTATAGGCTTTTTCTTTTAACGAAACATCACTCTCTTCAGCTTAGTTCAGGCCACACGTAAATTTACTGCTTATATTTCACCTTGCACTTTTTCACGCACTAGTGCACAAAGGAAGGGTGTCAGTCCGTTTTTCGTATTCCTTTCCCCACTCCAGTTTTGAGAGACGTACCATTTTGATCGTTAGTTAGCTGCAGCTGAAGATTTATAGCTTCCGGCAGATCGCCACGTATCAGTGTCAGCGTCAAATTTTTGGCCGGATTAGCTGCTAGCAGAGGTGGTAAGGCCTTCGGTACCATTGATCCAAGCAGTGTAGATGCAGTAGCTGGCAATAAGAACGGGAAAATTGCATTATTTGGCGTGAAATTTTGAAACCATACAGGAATCGTGCTGCTGCTGCTACTCCCTTCGAAGGGTGATGCTGGTTGTTGCCGGACTGAGTACATAGCAGGACAAATGCCCGGGGACCAGGAGAGACAACCACTGGCACTACAGTAACAGTGGAGCTGGCGTGGTAGACCTATACATATATAGCAGTTGCTTAACAGTAGGCACCCGAGCAATAGGGGTGGAGTTAGCGAGGGGCTGCTTGAGGCGCACCGAGTCAATGCACAACCACAAACACACTGTATATGTTAATAGAGGATTAAATTTTGGCTACTAGTAGCGCGCACTGCCGTCCTCATCATCACAGCCGGTGAGGGATCGCCGGCTCGCTACCGTAATCCGGCCGCCACTCCAAATGAATTAGAGTTCGATGTCGTAGCGAGGGATCAGTGAAAATCATCCAGGTCAGTGCTGGTGGTGCGGAGCGTTAGTAATTTGGCAGCGATAGAAACTGGGCTAGCCCGGCGGGTCTGTCTGTCACCCGGTGAGAGAAGCTTGCGCTAAAGCTTCGTGCTTCTAATCTAACCAAGGCAGCCTGTGCCGCATCTCATTCCGGGCTCACTCCATTAAAACATTTTTCCACCGCCGAGCTCAGCGCAGTGCGCCAGGGCAAATGTCAATTGAACAAACGTAATTAACTGAAGGGCTGTCCGGCATCGATGCCACTGGAGATAATACAATAAGGTTACAATATGCCTGGCAAGCCACAACCTAATTATGCTGTTGATTACGTCTCATCTTCCCAGCATCACCATTATCAACATTTATTTCTCCAGCTGTGATTCTTTTGAGTTTTTTTTCCAAGAGCCAGTGATGCTTGTTTGTGTGTCTAGTCACGTACAAGCACCAAGTGTTGTTTCACCACCAGATTCTGCTACGGATTTCTTTATGCCCAACATGAAACTTAGTGCTGAGAGAAGTTAGTATTCTTTTTTGGAACCTTGCGCAGACAAGAAAAAAAGTCCGGTGCTACGATTTTGCTACTCGAACTCTCACCCAAAAATGAGCGCATATTGAGCGGCTGTCTTCCCCCATCATTAAGCTTCATGGTGAGCATAAAAACCGATGGGGAACCCCTCCCTCATAAACATCGTCCGTTTTCAATTCTTGCATTCAACACAGGGTTTTTCACTAAATAGCCGCTTCTGTCCCGCATTTACTCTCTGAGATTAAACTTATACATCTGACCTCATGTTCCTTTTACACCTCTCTCTCCTTGCTTCTTTTCCTCTACCGCTCCTCCGCCCAGCCAACGCATATCCGTTTCGGCCGAGCCGCTCAAGTTTTAGTAATTGTCTATAAGTTAGAGTAAAACATCCCTGAATTCCAGACTTCAGCTTTACCCAGTTTCATAGTTTCCAAGTTGCTTCATCCGACAGGCGACTGCCTTTATGCATATAACAGCCGGGGGCTTTCGTCTCTGACTTAGAAATTCAATAAAGAGAGCAGTTTGTGGAAAATGGAATCTCAAACTTACTGGAATAGCAACACATCAGAAAGGATTTGCATCTTTTGGCTACGATTGCAGCAATTAAGACTAGGAAGGCAATGAACCAAATAGAGGGGGCACGGCACACAAACAGATGTCGTCTTCTTGACAACCTTATTTTCCATCTGATTGCTTTTTCATGTCTCGTCAATAGATCCGATTTCTCGTTCCCAGCTTTCACAAGTTGATTAGGTTATAGGTCGGTCAAACGACAGTAGTTGAACCGAAAAAGTTTTGTTTACTAATGAGTATAAAAGCATTTTTCTGTGTCTTCCCTCAGTGCTGGTAATCCATAGCTAAGAGATCATTCACTCACTTTAAATCAAGGACGGTACTCACACAGAGAAGCACGGCATCACTACAACCTTTCTGCTCCGCTATGAACGTATGTGCGCTTTTTCGAAAAAGCTCCAGGACTGGATTAGACACTAGTAGAAAACTATAGGCAAAAGATGCAAATCCGACATCGCCAAAGTAGAACTATCTTTTTTCAAATTTTTATATTCAGCTAATTCTCCGATGTTTCTGAAATCAAAAGGCAGGTCAGGGCACTGTTCTCATAAGAAATTGCAGCATGTACAAGCTGGAATTGGTCATTTCACTACAGTTCATCCAACAGAAAGTTTATATTCTTTTCCTCCAGGACTTTCTTAGAATATTTGAGTTCCCGCTTAACGTGGTCGTTTTCGCTTCACTCTTCCCAGTTTTATATACTAATCGTTCTCATTCTCTATTCTTTCTACTTCTATCTTACAAATTCGCGAATATATGCACTCAGCAAATGGCGATTAGGAGACTGTACTAATGATTCCCGCTTCTACAACCATGTAGAGCTCTCTCTGTGTTTACGGCTACGGGATGAAACACAGACCTTCTTCACATTTTTCCCC